ATAATCTAGACATATCCCAAGAACTGAATGAATACTTTGCTTCAGCTGTCAATAAGGATGATGTTGAACACAAAGGGAAAGGCAAGAGGTGTAATCACCCCGACAACATGGAAACCGAAATGAACTCGCCACAGCAAAACACCACGCAAACAACACAAAGTGTTCGAGGCAGGGGGACTAGATAACCCGCTCTGGGATTCTGAAAGAACCAACACATGCAACTACAGGTATGGTGGTAGAAATGTGACATAAATCCATGAAATCAGAGACAATAACATTTTATGAAGAAAAGCAAACTGAGTACCTATATTCAAGAAGTGGGAAAAAAGTAGTCAAAGCAAGTTCAGGGGTGGGCAATTATTTTGGCTAGAGGGCTGCTTAATGAGTTTTGGTGAGCTGTTGAGGGCTGCAAGGATAGCCCCACACTTTGACAGGTGCCCCACTAGGGTTGCCAAGCCTCTTGGATTGGCCAGGAGTCTACTGGAATCAGTCTGGGTCTCCTGGTGACTACTGAAAGCAATCCAGGAGACTGATATTGTGAATGGGTTGAGCAGTACAATTAATGACAATACATCATGTTGGGAAAAAAATCTCCTGAAATAGCTTCCGTCAAAGTTGGCAACACTATGCCCCAGCCCTGGTTGCCACCTTGGGACCCAAAGTCCCACCTCTAACCCCTGACCTTTGCCACCAAAAGTCCCTCCCCTTATCCCCAAAAGTATTCCTTTTGGTGGGGGGTTGCCATCTTGAAACTGGAAAAAACCAAATTGTATACAAAAAAAAAAAGTCTGCTATAACTTCCTGTAATTTTATTTAAAAACATATTTTATCCTTATTTATGTGCATTAATGTACATTTAGAGGTGACTGCAAAACAACTCAAAATACAGTCTTACTCTTGCATATTATGGGGCAGGGATTGGGGAGTGTATGCGTGTGTGGGGTGTGGGTATGGTGGGTGGGGTGTATGGCAGACGGTGCAGGGTCATGTGGTTATGTAAGCCCCAATGGCTCACCAAAAGCATCCGGGAATATCTCCTTGCTAAAAAGGTGGCCTACACCCAATGGAAAGAAGGGGTCATCACCAAGGAGGGCTATTCTGCAGTTGCTCGGGGATGTAGGGGGGTAGTTAGGAAGGCCAAGGCACAGATGGAACTGAGGCTAGCTTCCCAGATTAAGGACAATAAGAAGTCTTTTTTTAAATACATAGGGGGTAAAAAGAAGGTCCCAGGCAATGTGGGGCCCTTGCAGGATGCGTTGGGAAACTTGGTCGTCACGCCAGATGACAAAGCTAACATGTTTAACGATTTCTTTGCCTC